TGGATGGCTGCGATGCAATATCCAGCAGCAGCTATGGCGATGATGCAACAACAACAAATGATGATGTATCCTCATCATCAATACGCACCGTATAATCAAGCTTCTCATTACCAACAACATCCTCAGTTTCAATACCCATCTCCTGCTTATCAACAACAACAGAAGAATCAGAATCAGCATCAACGTGTTGGATCTGGTGGTGATGATGTTAAGACTTTGTGGGTTGGTGATCTTCTTCATTGGATGGATGAGACTTATCTCCATACTTGTTTTTCTCACACCAATGAGGTACCTTTCTTGTCTTCTCGTAATCATGTTTCAATTTTATAGATCGTGATAGATATATTACTCTGTTTTTTTAGATCCAGAGACTTTTTTTGGTACGTTTTTGATTGGATTTGAGATCTAAATGACGATTTGGGTAATGTGTAGAAGCAAGAAATGGTTGACATTTAGTGTAATCTTGAGCTTTGTTGACTTGAAAAAAGGAAACTTTAAAGTACCAAACATGTAATGAGATCATTTTTCAATTTGCTTGTATTAACGTTCTGTTTTCTATCATAAATTTGTGTCTTTTTGCTCTTTCCCTTTTAAGCTTATTCGATGTGGTTTTTCGTACTCTTTTGTGTCTTAGATTCTTTCTTGTTTTCTTGTTTAGGTTTCTTCTGTGAAAGTTATACGCAACAAGCAAACTTGTCAATCAGAAGGGTATGGATTTGTCGAGTTTGTTACTCGTTCAGCAGCCGAGGAAGTTCTTCAGAGCTATAGCGGTGTAACAATGCCCAACGCAGACCAGCCTTTCCGTTTAAACTGGGCATCTTTCAGTACCGGTGAAAAGAGAGCATCGGAAAACGGTCCAGATCTATCGATATTTGTAGGAGATTTGGCTCCTGATGTGTCTGATACTTTATTGCTCGAGACTTTTGCTAGTAGATATCCATCTGTCAAGAGCGCCAAAGTTGTGATCGATTCCAACACTGGTCGTTCCAAAGGTTATGGTTTTGTTAGATTTGGCGATGAGAATGAGCGATCAAGGGCTATGACAGAGATGCATGGTGCTTTCTGTTCAAGCAGGCAAATGCGCGTCAATATTGCAACCCCGAAAAGAGCTGCTGCTTATGGCCAACAAAATGCTTCACAAGGTAAGTGACCGATATAATCTTCACGACTTTAATGCATATAACATAGAATTTGAGGTGAATTTGTAATGTTTTTCAATTGGATTTAGCTCTGACACTAGCTGGTGGACATGGAGGAAATGGTTCTATGAGTAATGGTTCACTGTCTGATGGTGAATCAAATAATGCAACAGTGAGTTCTCCGAGATAATTCCTCGGCTAACAAACAATGTACTTCTTTGATCATTGTCTTTTTTATTGTATATTGTAGATATTTGTTGGCGGCCTTGACGCTGATGTTACTGAAGAAGATCTGATGCAACCTTTTTCCCAGTTCGGGGAGGTTGTTTCGGTGAAGATACCAGTAGGAAAAGGATGCGGGTTTGTCCAATATGGTAACAGGTACTAAACATGTTCTGTGTTTGTCAGCTTACTCATCCCAGTAGCGCGGGACTTGTTCAATCGTGATGAGCAATCCCGTAGGTGCTTATTGAACAGTGAAGATGGATACGTTGCAAAGTAAGTGACTTGCAATTGGTTTTGACAGGCAGAGTGCTGAAGATGCCATCGAGAACTTGAACGGGACAGTCATTGGGAAAAACACTGTCCGGCTTTCTTGGGGACGAAGCCCAAACAAACAGGTACAAGAAAAATGAAGTTGGATTAATTTGTGCTATATTAATGGAACCTTATGCATGTTTATTAGTATGGTCCAACTTGGTTTCAGAGTTGTTTATATTCTGTCTTCATGAGGTGGATAAAGTTATAGCATTCCTTAAAACCAAAGTCAGTGGTTGACAATGGATAGATAGTAGGTGTATTTGCGGGGCCATAAAGACCGCGGTTTTCGTTGACTATTTTGTTTGGCAAATCTAATGAATGTGTCCCTGGCTCACTTGTAATCTCCCTGAACATGATTCAATCTCTGAAACAATTGTGATGGTTCTGTGTTATGTTAGGATTGAAAAAAATTATAGCTATAGTTGAAGAAGCCTTGACCGATTTCATCTTATATTCTCTTGTATCTTTAGAGGTTGTCTTAGTTTCATGTTTATGTCTTAAGTCTCCAATAGTTTGTTGTAATCAATCTACAAGAATGTCCTAATCTCTTTTTTCTGGCTTTTGCATCCATTATCAAGTTGATTAATCAATTTGGTAGCGTTTACTCGTGATGTTGTATTGAAATGTTTATTTAAAACCATGTTTGAAGATCTCACTTAATGGTTCAACCTCTCAAGTACAAGTTATTCAATTCACTAATATTCTTTTAACGTTTGACAGTGGAGAGGTGACTCAGGCCAGCAATGGAACGGAGGATACTCAAGAGGACAAGGTTACAACAACGGATACGCTAATCAGGACTCAAACATGTATGCTAATGCAACGGCTGCTGTCCCGGGAACTTCTTGAAGGTGTTCAAAAAAAAAAGCCGGCTAGTCTTAGACTTGCGGGTATTGGGTCGAAAAAACAAGACATCGGATGATCAAAGTGATCCGATGATAGTTGTTGGTTCGGGGTTTAGCTCGCAACAACAACAAAAAAAAAACTTTAAAACCTCTTTTTAAGTCCAAAGAGGGTTTTGTATCCTGGATTTGAATTTGCTTATCTTGCTGTCTCAGTCTCTGTCAAAAAAAACTTTGAATTTGCTTCCTTTTAAGTTTACTAGATTCGACCTGAGCTAAATCTGATGAGAGAGTTTAGTTTTAATCTGTATCATCAGTTACCTAGCTGGTTTAATCTCTCTGGTCCAAGTTAATGGCCGGTTTGGTTCAATTATCTTTCTCCTTTGCAATTACACGTTATATTGAAAGCTCTGTAATTTTGGGGGATAATCAAACAAACAATCTTCTCCTTTAA